AACCTATGTACTTCGTATATATGCTCTATAGCTGTATTAAGCGGTAGATTAGCCTTCATGTTTTCGAAACTAAAAGCAATATTTTTATTTAAACTGACAAAAATAATTTTAAATTACATAATTCGATTTAATTATTTGTTTTAAAAATATTTAATAGAGTAAATATTCTGTATTAGTTGTTTGTTGGAACCCATGCAATACTGTAAGGTCAGCCAATAAGCCAATAAAGTTAAATAGCCTGATCCCAGAAAAATAAAATACTAAGTCGGGTTTTTTTCATACATTATTTTCATTTAAATGTTCATTTTCACGTAAGTGAAGTTAACAATAGCTGGCCGATTTAGTTTTTTAGTCATTCATAATGTCAATACCACTTGAAAACAATACTGCTAGTAGTAGCAGCAGCTGCAAGGGAAGTCGTACTACGTGTCCTAATCTTAGTAATTATGACGTTAGTGTCGGTACTACTAATAACAGCAACAACAACACTAATTCTAACAACACTAATTGTGGAAACAAGACCGCTGAACTCATGCTGAAGACTGTCATTTTGATTGGGGGGCCGTCCAAGGGTTTGTTGATTTACTAATCAGTACATTGCATATTTATTTATTTATTTACTTTTACTAATTACTTATTTACTAATTTTTTTTAAATTGTAAAAATTGATTTTAAAATTAACTAAAAATTAAGATAAATTAGTTTTTAAAATGATAATTTTGGTTGATTCTTGAATCTTATTAAATAACTTATTAATTATTTATTTTTTAATTAGATAATTTTAATTAGTTTTTAATTAGATAATTATTTATTTATTTTTATTTGATTATGAAATTTGAAAATTCTGAAAAAAGTTCCATTTGTAATTTCATTTATTTAGTATTAGTTCAGTTCATTCATTGAAAATGATTTTAATTTAAGAATAAATTAAAAATTAATAAATTTTCTTATGTCTGCTTTTATAATTATTAATTTATTTTACTGGAATACTGCCTGAAAAAGATTTTTTCATTTTAAGCTAAAATGAAATAAAAATTAATAATTAAATAAATTAGTTTTTTTAATTTTAATCTATATTTAAACCTAAATTAATATATTAATCAATGAAATAACACAGCTTAAAACAAGGATATGATTTTAATTTAACTAAAAAAATTTTTATATGGAAACTAAATTTCTATTTTTATTTGGCTGTTTACAAGACTGTGACTTCTTTTGGAATAGCTACTGTAAACGATTGCTCCAACAACTACATGTAACAATTTTTATACCATCTATTGCAACCAGGGACTCGCTTCAGACCTCTGTCCCTGGACTTGCCCAAGCCCCTCTTTCCCATAGCAGGTTTTCCAATGATCTACCACCATATTGAGGCAACTAGTAAGGTTGGCACTTGCAGTGGATGATTTTTAAGGGGTGGTGAAGGGGTAACTTATTATGGTTAATATCATTCACATCACCGAGTTACATATCATACTGACATATCTTACATATCATCATCAACATCACCAAATTACGTCAATCATCATCACGTTATCATATTATCATTCTGATATGACGTTACAGTTGCATTTTGAAATCATAAACCTTACCATGACATCATCATCACATCACAACATTAAAAATTGTAGCGGCAAACAACCGCAGCAACAACATCGTATTACTACATTAGCACGTCATGGTGTCATCGCTTCAGAGTAATTTTTTTTCTCCCTACCGACCAGCTGCCGAACATGAAGGAGATCCTTCTGGTGGGTAGCTACCAGTCTAGCAAGCACTTCAGCTACTTCATTGCTTCAATGCAACAACAATTTAAGATTGTTGTCAGGTTTGATTTTGCGGTTTGTTGTTGCTGCTGCTGCTTCTGCTGTAGGGGTTTCACACATACATATACAAAACAAACACATACAAATGTATACATACCTGTATACATGTATACATATATACATGCATGCAATCTCACATGCGTACAAACGCATATACAAACATAGACGTGCACGTATGTATACTTGTATACATATGTGCACACATTCACGCATGCATCCGTTCACACACACACTCACAAACAAAGACATACACACACACACATACTCACAGATACCTACAAGAATTTGAGACCCTGGGAACAGCGGGAGGTTTGTTCCATTTTCGGGATCAGATCCTGAATGGAAATCCTGATGCCATTTTTGTCATGAATGCCGATGTCTGTGGAGAATTCCCACTCAAAGAGATGCTGGATTTTCATAAAACCTGTTCACCAGATGGCAGACAGTTCACCATACTCGCTACTGAGGTTGTGATAATGGTGATAATGATTGTATTAATGATGACGATGGTGATGATGATATTGATGATGATAGTGAAAATGATGATGACAAATGCATGGCTATAAAATAATAATGATGATATGTTGGTATTTGCATGTACAGACAATGTTGCTAATGATTAAAAATTATAATCACATTAAACTTTTCCTAACTCTCTGACACTCCATTTTCTCCATTCATTTGTTCCTCAAATTAGGCAACCAGACAACAATCCCTAAACTACGGTTGCATAGTGGAGAACGAGAAACACCAGGTACCTCAGCAGCTGTCTTCGATGTCAAACACTAAATAACATTTGCGTTTGTGTGTATGTGAGCGTGTGTATGCGTATGTGTATGTTTGTTTGTGTTTGTGTGTGTGTGTGTGTGTAAATATCTAGTTTTTATTTTATTTTACTCCAATCATCTTTTTGCAACCAGGTACTCCATTACGTTGAAAAGCCACACACGTTCGTCAGCACTCTCATCAGCTGTGGAATTTACCTCTTCTCCACTGCCATCTTCGAACATATCAGCGTTACTTTTAAAGAGATGAATGAAGAAATCTCGTTAGTTAGTCTTTCGTTTTGGATTGGTGGTTGAGTGTACAAGTGATTGATTGATTGGTTGGTTGATCGGTTGGTTGGTTGGTTGGTTGATTGATTGATTGGTTGGTTGATCGGTTGGTTGGTTGGTAGGTTGATTGAAATGAAATGAAAACGATATGTTTCTATACATACACACGCATGCGCACACACACACAGGCAGGTTATTTACACACACACACACACACACACACACACACATACACACACACACACACACACACACACACACACACACACATGTTATTTACACACGTACACACAAATGTTGCTTAAGGTTTGACATTGAAGACAGCTGCAGGGTCAACTGTTCGGTTATCAGGTTAGAACAGGACATATTCAGCAAGCGTCTGCCTCAAACTGGTCAATTATAATAATTTCAATATTATATAATTATAATCAGATAGCTTGATACACATGGCACTGCTGTTGAAGTTACAGGGTTTGATTGCAAAGGCAAGCTCTGTATGATACAATGATTCATGTATATTTACTCGCGTCGTTTGTTTGCTGTCGGCACCTTTGTGAAACGCTAATGAGAAAATTCAAAATAAAATTGTTGAGTCATAACGACGATGACGTGATGGTTACGTGATTGTGATGTCATAAAAGATAATGACGTCATAATGTTAGTTAATGTGTCAACCTTCAACGCCATCTTTCAACATTTTATTACTCTCAGGCAAGTTTTTTGTTTATCAGACGAACAATTTTTGGAGTCAAGTTAAGTCAGCAAGGTATAAAATTCATTCGAGTATATAACGTTAAAGTATTTTAATCGTCATCGTCATATTCTTCAACGTCATCGTTATAAACATCATCGTCATCTCGTACAGTGCCACTATATACGCAAATCGTCATTACCTGGCCATATATTCGAGGACCCACCCTGAAAGGTTGGCCCCCCCTAACAAGATGGGTCCTCTAATTATTGGCGACGTCTTCATTGATCCAGGTGCCTTTGTTCACCCCACTGCAGTGGTTTGTTTTTGTTTCAATCTGTTTTGTGTTTCATTATCTTTTTTTTGTTACGCGCTTCCTGTCCTTATTTCAACTTGTTTTGTCAATTTTGCTTAGTTAAAACACTGCTAGAAACTTCATTAATATAATTCTCTTCTTTGATGAATAACTTATATACATTTTCCAATTTTTGTTTGAATTGCTCGGATAGTTAGGGCCGAATGTGACAGTAAGCAAAGGAGCCAACGTGGGCCCAGGAGCTAGGGTCAGGGAGTCCATAATTCTTGAGGGGGCCGTTCTCAAGGTTGTGGGGCGTATTACGTTTGGGGTTATTTAAAATTTGTGTCAAGATTTGAATATAACACATTTTCGTTGGGAGGAACACATTTTTGCATTTACATTCCACATTCTCTTAAAAAAGAAAAAACAACAAACCCTCATAGGATCACTGTTGCATATTGTACAGCATCATAGGCTGGAAGAGTGTCGTGGGGGAGTGGGCTCGGATTGAGGGCACACCGATGGATCCCAACCCCAACAAACCATTTGCAAAGTTGGATTCATGGGATCTGTTCCAGGAAGATGGAAGGCTGCATCCATCTATCACTGTCATTGGTCGGTGTGATGACGACTATGATGATGACTACTATGATGATGATGATGATTATGACTACTATGATGATGGTGGTAATTATTATGATGACGTCATTTTCTTCCCCAGGATCCAATGTCCACATTCCAGCTGAAGTCGTTGTGCTGAATTCCATCGTCTTGCCCGATAAGGACCTGGATCGAAGTTTCAAGAATCAGATCATTCTATGAAGAGTGCTGACTGACCTCTGCTGATGTTTTCGTGTCGTTGTCGTCTTAGTGTTGTTCACTGGTTATTTCTTGTTTCTGGTTTGATGTGTGTGTATAGATGTGTGTTTTATTTCTGTTGTTAGAAGACGTTTCATCTCTTGAATTGTTTTCATTTATGACGTGATCCATCCATTTATTTTTTCATTTCCCAGTTTTTCGTCACTTTTTGTTGATATCGCGTAGTTAAAAACAAAGTTTGACATACGACACTTGATAAATATTATCACCTACTTTTCGTCATTCACACATTGAAAACTGCCATCACGTTGTAGTTGTGAACATGAATTGTATTGTATGATATATTTATAATAATTTGTGTAAACTCTGCACCTCTCTGCTCTTTCCATTCATTTATTGTTAATATCTTCATTTGTGTAGTTATTATTTTAAACAAAATTATCCATATTATTGTTCATATTATTGTTCATACTATTATTGTAATTTTGGTGAACATTTCATAAGTTGTTTTACAGTGTGAAATTCCATTATAATTAAGTTTGTAGTTTGGTGACGGTTGGTTAATAATAATTAAATTAACTAGAATAATAAAGAAATGGATCTATATATGCCATTTAATTACATTTTGCACGTTTTGCATTTATTTTTATTAAATATAATCTGGAAGGAAGAAAAACAAAGACACATTTGTTTGATAAATTTTTTTTATATAATTTGTTCAGCAAATTGTTTTATTTTTTTGACATTTTTATTTACATGATGACAAATATAACTGTAAGACAATTCATAATAGAAATTGCAATAGTACCTTCACCTCAAAAACTACTTCTACATATAAATGAATTTCTATCAATAAGTCCATAAATAATAGTAGGCTTTGCTTCACAATTCAGCTTTGCACTACAATGGCTGAAGTTCAGTAAATGCCACATGTCATTTTTAAAAGGTATTTTGTACAAAAAATAAAAGAAAAAATCTATTTAATTTAAATTCTACATGAAATAAAAGCGAATTCTATTGCTAGGAAATCATTAAATAAATTAAGGCCGCTTTTCCACATCTAATTTAGGTTTCTTTGCTTGCTGATCTTTGTCCCAGAGGGCACTTTTAACGAATCTTTTACTGGCACTGATGTCGAGTTTTGGGGCCAGACGCTTATCCTCAATTTCCTTGACCCTCGCAATGCTTTTGCTGACTCGGTTTAGTTCGTAATTTATTGGATGTTTTGACACGTCCTGGCCGTTGAGTTGGAGGTATATAAAAAATAAAGAGTTGATGGTGTGGGCGGCCACAATTTCTGACTTGGCCTTTTCCAGAGGTGTCATCTTCTCGTGCTCCTCACTTAGTGAACGATCGTAGAATTGGTTGTATTTACTTTCGACGATGTCCAAATTCGCATTTAGATCGTTCAAACTTGTTATTATATTTGACGGTAACTCGCTAAAATCCATTTTTTTATTATTTAAAATCTATTTAAAACGAAAATCGGGTATATATATTTTAATAATAATATCAGTTCGCCACGAAAAACTTTTATATCGCTCAGTAAACATTCAGAGCACACCATAGTAGCAATAGGATAATTATATTTTATTCCGTCTTTATATAAGTAATGCACCAAAGAACAAATCTAGCAATTTTTGAGAGAAAATTGTGTTGACATTATTATGCCTGTTAAAAAATAGATAAGTTAGCATTTTAATAAATAATTTATAAATACATTGTTTCAGATTAGTTTAAATTTTATATAATGAGTTAGAATTAAATTCAATCACAATCCTAATCCCCAGAAATAAAATACCCAAAATTCTATAGCCAACCATCTATGTTTAAAAAACACTTGCGCTTATCGATTTTTTCTGATATTTTGGGCATTTAATTTAATTAAATAAAAAATATACAAAAAATTGAAATAATAACATTTTTTTAGAATTATTTCAATAAATTAAGTTGCGATTCACTAATCCTGTCACTAATTTTTGCATGGAAATAGAATCGAGGTTTTCAGACGAAGGCAGTTTTTCTGACAATTCCAACCACTACGAAGAGGTCTTATTTAAAAATTTATTTAATAGAATTTGTTATTTAATTATTTATTTGAAATATTTTATTCATTCAACCTAAACCATGAAGAATACGTTCACTTGTTTCTATAGTATAGTATAGTATTATAATTATATCACAATTTTATAGTGTTTTAAAAGTTTTATATAGTTTTTTAAATTTAAAAAGTCAATTGACAGATATTTAAAAAGCCATTCTATTATTTGTCAAAAAATTATGATATATATAACTTGTTTGACGACTAAATGTATGTATATAATATGTATAAATATTATTTATATTGTATGTTATATTAAATTTAAACTTTACCTATTTAGAACTCTGAAAATTCAGACTGTCGATACTTTTCAACATCCGAGTTGTCGTTCGACGAAGATGATGAGGTGACCTCGGTGGGGCTGAAGGAGGAACAGCAACACGTGCATGCACTGGCCGTCCTCGATGATGCGCAGGTTGGTCCGGAAAATTTTGTGATTTTTTGTTTTATTTGCTATTTTAGTTGAGAGAGATTTGTTATCATTATTTTAATTTGTTTCAAGTAAATCATTCTTTTAATGTTATTTCAATTGTTTTTCTTGCCTAAATAGTTTATTAATAGATTGGTCATTGATAAATTTTCAAAAGCAAACCTCAGATGTAACAAAAATACTGAAACATAACAACACACTAATAATAACAATTTAACCACAACAACCACCACAATCACAACAACAACAACGACAACAGAACAAATCAGTAGCATTTGCAATCCGAACGAATGTCGCGTACCTGGGAAGTGATGATGACGATCCACCTATGCCTGGATACGTCATCTCATTCCAAGTTAAGGATTTCATACACATCAAAGAGGTCGGTATCTATGATCTTTGATATGTTTGTGTTGGTGTATATTTAGTTTTTGATCATGTTGTTGTAGGAATATGTATTGCATCTTATGGTTTTGTATATTTTTGTATTGCATACCATACAACAGAAATACAATAATGAATGGTGGATTGGTCGACTTGTTAAGGAGGGGTGTCAGGTTGGTTTTGTTCCTAGTCCATCCAAACTCCAGTCAATACTGCAGAATCAAGCCAAGTTACAAGCTTTAAAGTTTGTGGGTTGATTGGTTGGTCAGTTGATTGGTTGGTCAGTTGGTTGGTTGGTCAATTGGTTAGTTGGTTGGCTATTTGTTTTTAGTGTCATCAACTATTTTAAATTATCAAATTTGCAGTTAAATTTTAAATATTTTTCTCATATGTTGCTATGCAATTGTTTTATCACCTTTATTTTCTTCATCTGTCAATTCATCTAGTATTCATTCATTTATTAATCTTTTTGTTTGTTCATTCATTTAATCATTTGTTTTTTTTTTGTTCATTCACTCATTCATTAGTTCATTTATTCATTCCATCATTCCAGCAAGCAGACTTCAATATCAGCTGATAAGAATGGACACTCATCTCCCCCTGCTACTCCTGGTTTGCCGTTCATTCATTCATTCATTCGTTCATTCATTCATTCATTTATTCATTTATTCATTTATTCATTCATTCATTCGTCCAATCCATTCATTCAGCTTTTCATCATTTATCGGATATTAATTCACGCACTAGATGCATTCATAAGCGAATGATTGAATGAATGATTGGTTCAATTTTGATAGAAAAAAGTTTCTGATTGAGTGAATGAAAAACGAATGAATGACAGAAAGAAAGAACGAATTAGAAAATTAACGAATGAATGAATAAACTCTACTAGCAGGCAATGAAAACGGTTCAAATGGTTTCAACAATAGCAGCAACAACAACAATTTATACAACAACAACATGAACAGTTCCTCTACTGAAAAGATTAGTAAGAAGAAACTCTTCTTCAAAAAGGTGATCCAGCATTTTTACTGAGTAGTAATATTACTTCTTTATTCGTTCAATCGCTCATTCTTTCAATCACACATTCTTTTAATCACACATTCCTTTATTCAATCATGAATAATCATCACTAATTCAATCTTTTCTCCATTCATTCATTCATTCATTCATTCATTCGTCCGTTCGTTCGTTTGTTCGTTCATTCATTCATTTATTCATTCATTCATTCATTCATTCATTTGGTCTCTGAGTAATACAATAACCTTTGACCTCTATCGATTGATTGGCAGTCGACAAACATTCCCCCTTATGAAGTTGTCCCTGCCATGAGGCCGATCGTCCTGATTGGTCCGTCTCTGAAAGGTTACGAGGTCACCGACATGATGCAGAAGGCCCTTTTCGATTTTCTCAAGAAGAAATTTGATAACAGGTGGGTGGATTTCAATCAATCAATCAATCAATCAACCAGTCAGTCAATCAATCAATCAGTCAGGCAATGAATGAATGATTGAAACGACCTATCCTTCTATCATTCATACGGCCAACCAATCGGTTTTCCATTACCGACTGAACCCACCTACCTCCCAGAATAATTACAATGCGAGTGACCACGGACATCTCCTTAGTGAAGCGTTCCTCGACGTCGTCGTCATCTGCCTCAACGACGGCAGCCTGCGCTGGCATAGTGGAGAAGAAGTACCATCACTACCACCACCATCTGGAACGATCGAGCAGTCGAAACGCGTCGGGATTGGATGAAGTGCAACTGGAGATTGAGAGGATATTCGAGTTGTCGCGTTCCATGAATCTCCTTCTTCTAGACTGTGACACCATCAACCATCCATCGCAGCTGTCTAAGTCCCCACTGGCTCCCATTCTCGTCCACCTCAAAATTACTTCTCTTAAGGTTGGCGTTGTGGTGGCTGTGGTAGTGACGGTTGTAGTGACGATGGTGATTACATATGTAGAAGAGGTACAATAACTTACATTTCTATTTTCATTAAATACATGCAACATGCAATACAGTGAGTGCATACACGGCATACAGGATAGTGTACCATACGCACACCTTTCACAATGCAACACAATACAATACAATATAATGCAATACAAACAATACAATACAATGCAATACAATACAATACAAAACATTACAATGCAATAAAAACAATACAATACAAAACACACAATGCAATACAATACAATACAATAAAATGCAATAAAAAACAATAAAATACAATGCAATACAATACAAAACACACTCAGGTACTGCAAAAGTTGGTTCGCACAAGAGGCAAGCAGCAGAACAGGAGTCTCAATGTTCAACTTGCCGCTGCCGAACGACTCAGTCAGTGTGGACCTGTTAGTATATGTTTGTATGTTTGTTTATTTGTTTGTATATGTTTATTTGTTAGTATATGTTTGTATGCTTGTTTGTTTATTAGTATGTGTTCATTTGCTTGTTTGTCTGTTTAGTATGTTTGTATGTAATAATGTCGCGGCTTACTATAGAAGCATAAACAAACACCAGGACACATTTGATGTTGTGTTGGATGAGAACTTGTTGGATGATGCATGCGAACATCTGGCTGAGTATCTAGAGGCTTACTGGAATGCTGCCCATTACAAATCAGGTCAGTCTCTTGTTGTCATCTCTTGGCTCAATCTTTCATTCGCTTTTTCTAAGTTTACATGTGAATGTATATTGATTGTGTCTTATGTTTGGACATTGAATATTACGTATGCGTTGTTTCTATTTCTAATGATTCGTTACTGTTAGGTTTTTAAATTTTCACCCAACCATTCAGTCAATCATTAAATCGATCAATCAATCAATCAACCAATCAATCAACCAATCAATTGACCAACCAACCAATCAACCAACCAATCAATTAACCAACCAACCAATCAACCAACCAATCAACCAACCAATCAACCGACCAACCAATCAACCACATAGGCCCTACGAGGTTCCAGTGTCAATCCCTGCCTCCGTTTCTAGGTGGTGATTGGGGTGGTCTGGATGGAAAGTTGGGGAGCAGTAAAAGTGCCAACGAAGCAAGGGACATGTTTGGTAGGGGAAGCGTGGGTAGTGCAGGGGCAGTCAGTGCGGGGTTGATGCATCATTCCATGCCTAACTCTTGGTCCCTCTGTTTGTCAGGGCTACAACAGAATCAACAAAACCAGCAGCTCTTGCAGCAGCAACAACTGCTGCAAAATTATCTCATGAAGAGTTCTCAACAACCACAGCAGCATCAACGGGCTCAGATGCCGCAGTTAGGTAATGTTGTTCAGCAGTTGCAGCAACAGCAGCGTCTACAACGACAGCCATTTCATCATTACCATCACCATACTCCTCTGCAGCTACAGCAACAGTTACGACAACAACAGCTGCAACAACTGCAGCAGCAGCAACAACAGTTGCAGCAACAACAATTGCAACAGCAGTTACAACAACAACAACTACAGCAACAACTACGATTACCATTATTCAATAAGAAGTCATTTTCTTCTAGTTCTCTATCAAATCCAAAATATCAGAAACAGCATTCGGTCATGTTCAACTCTCAGCAAGGTAACACAATGTTCAACAACAACAACAACAATATTAACAACACCAATGACATCAACGCTCATAATGAGAACATCAACGTGACAACAACAGGCTCTCCTAGCAACGCATCATTCCTGAAAAGAGCTGGCATCAAGTCATACACACCACCCCAGTTCATCAGTAACAATCCAACTCTCTCCATCACACCTCAACACCAACCCTTGCCTCTTGATCAACAGCAACAACAACAACAACATTTGCAACAGCAAGAACTTCTCCAGCAACAACTCTTGCAGCAACAACAAATGATGCAGCAACTGCAGCAGCTACAACAACAGCAGCAACAACAGCAGCAACAACAGCAGCAACAACTTCATTCATCCAATGATGACGACACTCTTCCTCCTTCCTTCTCGGCCTGGAACCAACAATTCTACCAGCCGCCATCCATCAGGACGGCCTCGCGACAGGTCTTCAGCAGGAACAAACTCATTACTGCATCCTTACAGCTAGAGAAGTCCGACACCATGGACGATGTCGACGTTCTTGCGGAATTTCAAGATTTAAATTTAGCCAAAGATGCTGAATATCGTAAGACTACATCCGGTGATAATTTAAATGTTTCTGCTGCTTCTAAAGGTAAACTGAGTGCCGAGAAGAATAGAGGCAGCATTGACAATGACGTCGTTTATTTGGACGCGAAGAATACGAAGGACGAAGATGATGATGACGACGACGAGGATGAAATATTCTCATCACCTCTCAACGAGATAACATTCACGTACGATGATAACTCTGTCACTGCGGTCAACAACGCCTCCAACAGTACCAACTGCACCGACAACAAAAATGTTTCCACCAACACTAAATCAGCCAACGTTAACAACATCACTGTCAGGACGATTATGACGTGTGAGGAAGACGAAGACGACGAAGATAGGACGAATAGACATCAGTCAATGCACAAACTCTACTCTGATTGGATGAACCGAGGTGGTGAAGGAGGAGTCAACAACAAGGACTCCATTGAATCTATTGGTAAGCGAACCGGGTTCTCTAGGAGATCCAATGAAAACGAAGTTGACAGAGAATTCAATTTTGATTTGTCGGATGACGAGAGAGCCTACGAAGACGATCGAACCTTCCAGCCAATCGCATGCTCCTACGTACTCTTGCACCACGGGCACGACGACCCATCGCGACCACTCTACAGCTATCCAACTTTCCAACAACGCCCCATCAGTTCGGGTGATCAGCAGCAACTAGGGCAACGCTCATCTCCTCGAAGCCTCAACCCAGCGAAATCTCTCAACCAGCCAATCACAATCAAGCCAAAAGAAATAAAGCATTCCTATTGGCTGAGCGAAAACGGCGTAATAGTTCGCAAGACCCACGACCTAGATTCTCCGGCCAGTCATTGGAAATCAGGTCGCCATGGTAAGAAGCTGAACGTCGGTGAAACCAACCGCTACAGTGATGATAGTGGCTTTGAACAGTTCAAACGCATGCACGCGTCAGGTGGCCTCTGTGACAATGATGATGAGGCCGATGAAGCTTATTGATCTCGGACGCACTAACACGGACACACACACGCACACATACACACACACACAAACATCCATACACACCTCTGATACTTGTATTCATTCATATTTACATGTAAATTTACACACTCACTCACACATAAACACAGATATTTATATACGCATAGGTAGGTTGGTGATGTGCGTACAAAAATGTATATACATTTTATTGATTATATATACAATATATATATATATATATATGTATAATATATATATAAACATACAAATATATAAAATGTACGTTATATATATATATATATATATACACACACACATACAATATAATAAGCACACGTGTATGTGTAATTGTGTGTGTATTTCATGGTATTTTGATGGTGTCTTGCGGGTAATTTTTTTTAATTTTTTATTGAGATGACGTTTAATTGGCATATAATTTTATTTTATCTCTCTCTTCTTTTTTAATTGTGACGTTGCTGATGTTGTTGTTGTTGTTGATATTTGGTACACTATTTATTGTTTTTGGTACATTATTGTTTTTGGTACACTATATAATGTTTTTGGACACTATTTATTGTTTTTTTTTCCATTGTTTTTTGTCTTTTGGTGAAAGTGAACGATAACTTTATTGAAATAATTTAATGATTGATATAAATGGCATAAGTTTGTTAATAATAACAATAATAATAACTCCATGATTACTATTAGTGTTAGATTACTATTACTATTCCATGAAAAAGAGAGAGAGAGAGAAAGAGAGAGAGAGGGAGATATTTTATTTGCAAGATTTTTCCTTCTTTGGTGCCAACAATTAAATCTTATTATTAATTAAATAATATTAACAACAAATGCGTGTATAATACAGTTGTCCATTTCAGCTCCTTTATTTTTATCATTATTATCATCGAATCATTCTTATCATTGTGACTGATGTTGTTATTTATTCTTATTGTTTTTTCTCTAGACATCGGCAAGCTCATTTTCACATGGCATAATTGATGTATTTTATATAAAAGAGAGAGAAAAAGAGAGAATTTTACTTCTCATTTTTGTCATATATCTTGTTTTATATTTTTGTTTTATTTTTCGTTTTTTTAATTTATTTCTCTAAAAAGTTGGCATTATAATATTTTTTGCGATTTTTTTTCAATTTTGTTAGTTTGTATGTATGTATGTTTGTGTTGTATGTATGTATGTTTGCTTGTATATTTGTTTGGTTTTCTTTTTTTTTAACCACTGGGTTACTTTACTATTTTCAATCATTTTTTTCCGTATTTTTACATTTATTCACACACACCACACACACACACACAAACACACACACACACACACACATAGGGTGTTTCTTTTCGCTTCTGAAGTCCTGAAGTCAACTCATAAGAGGCGCTATACAAATTTTGCAATACATACATACATATACACATATATATATAAATATATATATATACATATGTTCGTTTTTTTCGTTATATCTGTTTGTATGTATTCAAACATTTATATGGTTTATACTTGACTCATTGATGTACAAATGTTTAATTTTCATTTCCAATAAATACATCAATTTCATTTTATATCTCATATACATACATATACATGTATATTTACACACACACACACACACACACATATATATATATATATATATATATGTGTGTGTGTGTGTGTGTATCTTTTTCTAATTGTTTTTTGGCTCTTGTTATTGTGTCTATGTGAGTTTTCCTGCTTGTATTGTTAATTTCATTTTGGTTGCTGTTGTTGATGTTATCGCGTTGTTGTTATTGTAATGGTTATTGTTAATAATTTTATACCGGATGATCTTATTGATCGATTGAATCCATTGTACGTTCTTTCATTTGTCTATTAAGAACTTGTCAATTAATTCATTCCTTCGTTCACTCATTCGTTTCTGTGTGTGTGTGTGTGTGTGTGTGTGTGTGTGTGTGTGTGTGTGTGTGTGCGTGAACTAAAGACAATTGTTGCAAAGTATTGTCGATTTGTTTTAACCATTGCATAATTTTTCTGTTTCGCGGCTGATCGATGGATCGTCACATTTAATCATTCCTCCTTCGTTTGCTCATTTGTTCATTCCACTCACTCACTCATTCATTTAGTTCTTCTTTCGTTCGTTCGATCATTCCTTTACTCGTCTTTTCGTTCGTTCTCTTCTTCATTGATTGATTGATGCACCTAGCTTTGATCGAACGTTTACTGAGCTAAGCAGCTTATTTGTTACACGATCGTCTACTTGTTCATTCACTTATTCATTCATTCAATCATTCATTCAATCAATCAATAACCGTTAACCACTTTTATTCGTTTTGTCATCCATTCCCACGTTCATTCACTCATATCTATATATCTATCCAGTCGACTATTTTTTATTCAGTTATTTTCGTATTTCCACATTCGTACATTCATTCATTTCCTCGTCCAGTCACTCACACACACATTCATGCATATTTGCATTCATTCATTCATTCATTCATCCAGACATATAGATTTCGGATTCATTAATTCTAACGCTAAACATTCATCTCAATCAACCAACATAAATTATAAGGTGAATGAATAATTCATATAAGTTAATATAGTGAATGAATTTGCATAAAACGAATTGAATAAAACATTCATCTCAATCAACCAACATAAATTATAAGGTGAATGAATAATTCATATAAGTTAATATAGTGAATGAATTTGCATAAAACGAATTGATAGGGTGAATGGATCGATATGAATTATGCGGACTATCACGGCGAATGTATAATAATTCATTTGGATTTTTAAAGTCTTTTGTGAATTTCATCTATTCTACATTTCATCATTTTTCATTATTATCGTTTAACGTTCCATCTATTTTAAATTTACACACACACACACGCACACACACACATATATATATATATATATACATACATATATTATATATATATAAATATATAATTTTTTAATTTATTATTTTATATTTCATTTTACCTTAAATCTTGTCTTACAACGCAAGACGATTGATGTAGCACACATAATGTTATCCATTCATTCATTAACTTATTTATTCATTTATTTGCTTGCGTTGGATTGTTTATTGTTGATATATTTTTTTTTTAAATAATACATTAACCCTGTCATCATCGTATCCTCTCTCAATTTATTGAAAGTATTGAAATAGAAATATGTCTCGAGAAGTATTCGCTTGCTCGGCTCACAGGTTTGGATATAAAGTCGAGATGGGATGGTTTATGTTATGCTTAGATCATTTAGTCAGATCGTCATAGCGATACGATCGTTAAAAAAAAAGTTTACCCTGTAAGTTTTACGAATTTTTTATTCGGTTCCGGTGTGTTTACCGCGGTTATTCTCTCTCTCTCTCTCTCTCTCTCTCTCTCTCTCTCTCTAAGACGCATCCTACTGGCAATAGTTGCAGTCAGATATATTATTATTATTATGATACATTATTATTTTATATCTCAACAACCATTGTTCGCTCACTAATAACTCTCTCTTTCTCTCTCTCACATGTTCCACACATATTTTATTGTTGTCTCATAGATAATCAATCATCACTCGACATCTCGTCAACAAACAAAAATTATTTTGAATTAACTAAAAATACGGAGTATAAGCAAAAAAAAACTTTAAACAACACGCACATACATATATATACATATTATATACACACACACACAACCACACATATAACGCTATACCTAAATACGTAAAAATACCTTGTACACACACACACACACACACACACACACACACTTAACCGAATGCTCATACACATCAAGAACATAGCTAATTAATTGATTAATTAATTAATTAATTAATCAATTAATTAATTACCTTTATTTTTTTTCTCTCTTATACGCTGTTAAAACTCGAAACCTCATTATAGAGTTAATGGCATGTAATAATAATAATAGTAATAATAATAATAATAATAATAAAATAATAATAATCGTTATAGTAGTAACATTTGACATGAATCCATTAAATTAGTCGCAATAATAATAATGATAATAATAGTTATATTAATAACAATAATATTAATTAATAATTATTAATAGTTATTTTAATACAACACACGTTTAGACGACATTTTCCCCGAGATCGGGTGTTGCCGTTTGGCTACCTATGATGAAACCGAATACCCCTCGACGCCATCCACATCTGTCACTCGCCTCAGTATCACGCAACCCCACTTTCACCCTGTCCTTCTCCATCTGCTCTCTCCATCCCAATCGCGGACGACCCCTTCCTACTAAGTTATTTTAATAATAATAATAATTAATAATAAATAAATACATCAAATAAATAAAAATAGACAAACGGATAAATTCGGGAGAGACGTGAAATGTACTATTAACTGTTAAAAGCAATTTGCAAATAAAATAACAAAAAAAACAATAATAAAATAAAAATAATAATAAACAACAACAACAATAATAATAATAAAACAACAACAAAAAAAAAAGAAATTACTATAATCAATTTAAAATTTCAAAGCTTCTTGGATTTGTGTTAGTGAAATTTACAATCGAAAATAATTGAACTTAATCCGAATGATTAGTAACATTCATCTCATCAACATCATCATTAATATTACCATTATCGTCGTCATCATCACCAAGGTTAAATGTCATTACAATCATATCATATCATTTCGTATCATACCACATCACATCACATCATATATCATATCATATCATAATCCTCATTCCATTGGACTTATGGAGCCATCACCTATTTTTCAAAAAAAAAAATTAAAAACGTCCAGATCCATCTAAAAAAAATTTCCTCAAAAGTACAATCGCCAGGTAATAAACTACAAAATTAACAGCAGAATCACACACACACACACACACACACACACACATACACATATATATATATATATATATATATATACACGCGCGCGCACACAAAACCACTCAGTTGACCAATCAATCAACCAATCGAATTGCGATCAATCAATCAAATTGCAATCAAACAATAATAATAAGAACAATAATGATAATAATAATATTATTATTATTAATATTATTATTATTATCACCAATTTATTTAAATTAATGCAATAAAAAGAAAATTCAATAAAAAAGATTCAATAAAATAATCATCAACGCAATTCACGACGTGAAAATGAACAACAACAATAATAACAATCATAATAATAACAACAATAATAATGTCAATAATAATAATAACAATAATAGTAATAATAATAATAATAATAATAATAAAATAATAATAATAATACAACATTAAAGGAAGCCAAATCCAGAAGAATTTTTACATTTTCGACTGGCCATCTGTAAAATTTAAAAAAAAATAATTTTTTAAAATAAACAATTAAAAATAGCATTAAAAAAGATAATCATAAAACTATTGCCATCCTATTGCTATTGGCTATTAGTATCGTCGTTCATTGGCTGACTGGCTGGTTTTCAAAAGTAATGGGTGGAAAGATTTGGTAAGTAAGGGTTAAGGGACTTGGCCCAGATGTAGAACTGAACTGACACACGTACGTGAAGGCGTACGTATGTTTGTTAAATGTTCTTACAACAACAACAACACACGTTTAGACGACATTTTCCCCGAGATCGGGGGTGTCCGTTTGGCTATCTATGATGAAACCGAAATACCCCTCGACGCCATCCACATCTGTCACTCGCCTCAGTATCACGCAACCCCGCTTTCACCCTGTCCTTCTCCACCTGCTCTCTCCATCCCAATCGCGGACGACCCCTTCCTACCACTCCTTCAACCTCGAACTCCAACGCTCGCCTAATCCCGACCCTTTCATCCCTTTTCAACACATGTCCATACCAACGCAATCTCGATCTCCTTATCAATGTCACAATGTCCTCATTCAGTCCCATCATTGACATCAGCTCTGTACTACTCCTCCTATCCTTCACTTTAACCCCACACATCATCCTCACCATAGCTCTTTCAGCCCTCTGCAGTACACTTTCTTCCTCTCTCCTCAACACCCAAGTTTCACCACCATATACCATCGCTGCTCTCACACATGCTTTATATACCC